TTTTTGAAACTTAGGAAACTATTTATTTTCTCCATGCAGCCAGTACATCAACATCCCCATCTTTGTGAGCAACCTGGGAAACCTTGAACAACAGGACTACTGGAGAGTGTCAGGCACATGTCCATCTTTAGGACAGAGTGAAGCTGTTAATCAGCACAGGTACATTCAGAATGTTATTTGCAGTTAAAGGACTAGTTCAATCAAAAATGAATATTTGCTGGAAATGTAAATGTATTTGCTTATCATGTAGATGAACTAGTTTCTTCATTGGAACAGATTTGGAGAAATTTAGCATTACGTCACTTGCTCACCAATGGATCCTCTGCAGTCAATGGGTGCCGCACATTCCACACAACCCCAGTCTGTCAATAAACATCTTGTTTGTTACAAACATGCAGCTTTTCGCTGTACAGTTCCTTCAGTTAGGTGTTTTTAACTGGTTCCACTTCTAGACAAAATATGAGTCTATCCCCCGGTTTCACAGACAAGGCTTAAGCCTAGTCCCCGACTAAAGTGTAAGTCTGAGCTTTTTCAACTGAAATAAACTTGCACTGATTGATCTTGAAATATGTCAGTGCCTTTGTTTTGTCTCAAGATGTTTTTTCTAAGGCATGTTTATAAAAATTACTTTAAAATCCTAATTGAACTATGGCCTAGTCCTGGCTTAAGCTAAGCCCCGTCTGTGAAACTGGGCCTAAAATTCATAATAACGCTTTCTCTAGTAAAAAAAAAAAAGCCCATACCCTGTTGTCTCTCACATCAAAATACACAGACATGTTTGTTTAGAACTGTTTTCACATGTAAATGTTGCTTGATCTGTGCATATTTCTCTCCTGATTCAGACTAGATTTTTTTTTTTTCTCTAGTGAAAGCAATATTATGAATAGATGATTTTAGCCGGAAGCTAAAACATCTTAATGGCGGATTTGTTTCTTACAAATACAGTTTTTTACTTTACAACATATTAACTAACGGACTGGAGTGGTGTGGATTACTTGTGGTTTATTGTGATGTTTTCATCAGCAGTTTAAACTCTCATTCTGACGGCACCCATTCACTGCAAAGGATCTGTTGGTAAGCAAATTATGTAATTCTAAATTTTTCCAAATCTGTTCTGATGAAGAAAAAACTCATACGTCTTGGATGGCCTAAGGGTGAGTATAAATTTTCATTTTTGGGTGAACAATTATCTTTCAAGTCTTTTTGGTTTTGCATTTTTCCAAATCTGTTCTGATGAAGAAAAAACTCATACGTCTTGGATGGCCTAAGGGTGAGTATAAATGTTCATTTTTGGGTGAACAATTATCTTTCAAGTCTTTTTGGTTTTGCTTGCCAAGGCAAACTTTTTTTTGCCTGGTAGATGGTAAAAATGCAAAAACATCCCATAGACTTGCAGTTAAGGAGGGGTCAGAGCCAAATCTAGAGATCGGACTTTCAAAGAGGTCTGGAGGATCATGACATTATTAACAGCTATCCTTGAAACCACATAGTACTGCAGTTTAGGAAACAACTGCATAGTATTTTCCCCACAAAATATGCGAATCTAGCTTTTTCTTTAGAAGTGATAAATAATTTTTTCCTTGTCTCTCAGGACACAATTCTTCTGCTCAGGGGATGATTTAAAAGAGGTCCGAAATATCAGCAGCATGAACGATGCCCTATTAGGAGAAATGCAGGTTAGTAACTACATTTCTTATTAGTTGCACAATTTTATCCGGTGTGAAATGAGTATATGCAAATCATATGGACAATTCATATGCGTCTTCTGTTATACAGAAAGTGTGTAAGGAAGTGGAGAAGAGTGAAAGAGCAGTAGAGAAGCTTCAAGAAGACCTCAAACAGCTCAAGGAGGCAATCAAGGAACACTCAGAGAAAAATGAAAGTAAGATCTATTATGTCAAGTGCTCTTTATATGGGTGCCTCCAAGGTCAATTACACACTACGAACTGAGACTTGTCTGCAGATTTCAAACAAAAGGGCGTCAGTCTTGTAGTGTGTGCTTGCATACAAATTGCTGTAAGGTAGCAGTAGTAACCCTTATTTTGTATTTAGTTGATAAATTATATTCCCGTTCTCATCGTATTAGTATAATATTACATACATTTTTGGTTCATCAGAATATTATAGTTGTTTTTTTATACAATTTTGTACAAACCACAGATCAGGTTTTTTTAATCTTTAACTAAAACTAAAAACAGAACTTGTTGTAACGTCACAGTAGTAACCCTATGGATAACTGAATAACTTTGTATTCCAGCCCAAAAACATGCCTCTCCAGATGAACCCAAAGAGAATGTACTTCTGTGCTCCGCTCTCAGAACGCTCTTCCCCGATGCGCCTTCATTACGGACACAAACCCTCACTGTTCAGGGTCTCCCTGTATTGGAACTGTGCTGTAATACTGACCATAACGTCGATATTCCCACCAAGCTGCCTCTGATTCTGGAGAATCAACACACCAGGAAGAAGGACACAGCCCCCCGACTCAGGAAAAAATGCCTTGTCGCTGGTTATTCTCAAAGACTTAAAAGGAAGAGGAAAACTAATGACACCAGCGAGTCGGCCTCTGACAGCGGGTCAGATACAGAGATTGAGATGAACGGACAGAACAGACGTATCTCTCCTACCTTTTAAAGAATGAAACTGAGCCTGGTTTTATTGGTACAGCAATCTAGCCACGACTGGAAAGCATTACACATTTTGTACCTGGAGGTTGCCTTTATCTTAATATGCGTTCCATGTTGTTTATTGTTTAATATAATTTTTTTTAAACTTTAATTGTAAATGTTTATAAATTCCTTAAATTAAATACTGAATTCACATATGTGGTGTTTTTATTTAAATGAGTTTTATTCATTTTCTGGTTCATCAGGTTATTATAATTATGTTCCATTGTTTATTTTTCACCATTTTACAAACCACAGATTTACAGAAACAAAAGGATGGTCTGCAGTGTCGGTCTTTATACAGAACCTATTCAAAATGTTTGATACCACAAATATCAGGGTCTTTAATAAACTGTGGATCCTTCAGAGTGACTGACATAAAACCTGTGGACATTGCAAAGACCTTTGTTAGTCAAATACTCTGGTTTTACTGTATAACCATGGAAACTTTACTGAAAGCACATAAATATTTAATTCATAAAAAATAAAATCAACAAATTAAAGCCATAAATTCTTTACCCATTGAACGAGCTTTCTTTATTGCCTTCGATACCTCTTTCTGCTTCCGACCACACAAGCCTGTGAGCAAGAGTTATGGTGTCCCAAATTACTAAATCACATTTATATAAATATTAATGTGAACATTTAAACCCAGTCCACTCACCTGTTATGTGTCTTCCGTATATTCTGCCTGTGTGTGGTGAAATAAACTGGGACAACAGCTGGAGAAAAAGGATTGCTTTTTGATTATTTTGCCAATAAAAATATAACTCATATACATTTTACCAACCTGAACGTTTTTGAAGTCTACAGTTACATTGCACAGGATGCAAGTTTTCGGAGGGGACTTGTATGGGTTTTCCATTTTAATAGGCTGAATAAGACAATGTTGTAATATTAGTGCAAATAAGTATTCAAATAGTTTCAGAGAACTTCAACAATTAAAGTGTCAAGCAGAAACGCATGTAAAAAAACAAACAAAAAACGTACCATATCTTTCTTTAGAGATTCTTGCTGAGATGTTGTCAGACTTCTGATGCATTGTGCTGGAAGAGATTAAATAGGCTTACAACATTTCATGACTAACAAGCTATCATTCTTTAAAAAAATACGTTGAACAGATCAGGACATCATCTTATATTTCCCTGTAACATCGAGTTAAATCAAATAATTATTAAATGTCTATTATTGATAAAGAAGCTGTGTGCTTCTCATAAGCGTGCTTACGAAAATGTACTAGTTAGTAGTCCTGAAAAACATTGTGAATTAAAAAAAAATTGAGAAAATAATGTAGCAGAGATACCTGTAGCCCTAGGTGTGACCGGTTGCTTGGGAATAGCCTGTAATAACAGGCGACTAAAAGAAAGGGCAAACATTCCTCGATGTGTTCAGGAGGAGGCCACCATTTCTGCCTGCTTCTTCCGCGGAGTCGTTTAGCGCGGTTATGGTTACGTTTGTTCCAATCTACCGCCACCTACAAGATCGGAGCAAGCGAACTTCACTTCAAAATGGATATCCTTAAAATAAATGGCCTTTACATACAAAAGAAATTATAAAGGTGCAAAGGTAAATAAAATAAAACAAACAATAGAAAGTTAGTATAAAAAGCTTTAACGTTAGTATTTTTTTTTTACTCACAATCAGCGAAATATTGGAAAGAGGAAGTCTGAAAAAAGTTTTTAGTTATTGATATATTTAATGTTTTAGCTATTGGTATATAATAATTGATATAATATTTCCCAGTTGAAGAATCAATGATAAAATGAAATAATAAAACAATGGAAAATTTGTATAAAAAGCTTTCGTGATTTTGTAGATTTTTGTGTATGGCAGTCTATGGATCATTCTGGATTCTTGAAAGACTTGCAATCAGTTTTCTCACTCTTTTTTGGAAGGAGAATGTGTAAATACATTTTGAAAGTGTGAAAAAACTTTGGACAAAACTTTGAAAGTTTTAGATATTGATATTATATAGGACTAATTAACAGAAAATTTCACTGATGAAGAATCAATTGTAAATAATAAAAATATAAATAAAATAATAGAACAATTGTGTAAAAAGCTTTTGTAGTTTTGCAAGTGTATTGATCATTTTGCATGTCTTTGAAAAGTCGTTTCAATAATAAAGAATCAATGATAAATAAAATAAAATAAAATATGACATTTATATAAAAGGATTTTGAAGTTTTATGGTTTTTAGTAATTTTTTGCATTTTCTGAAGGATTGAAGGGACTTTTGTTCTGCCTTTTCTCGTCTTGACTATTTAACAGTCACGTGGTTCAAAGGCGAACCCCTATTGGTTAACTCCTCCATCACTCATCTTTTCGAAAGTCCTCGGTTTTGGTAAACATTGGCTAGTGTGTCGCCGCTCACTGTTCAAATGTTATTTTGTGTAATAATAGATATTTAGTTGTTTTGTTGTGGTTTTGATGTAGTGACTAAGGTCAGTTACTTAACTGTCATACAGACTTGACTATGGATGAATAAACAGCTTCGCCTCTTTGTTGTGGTTGTTGTCAGTTACTGACCCTACAGTACGTAAGTATTATCACGCAGTGCTGTAATATCAGTTTCCAGTAGCTTTACACTAGTAATGTATACTGACAACCACATGCACGAGATTGTGGTAAAGCGCAACACTTCGTCCTCAAGAAAGAGATCAAGGGATAGCATGAGAAGTCGCATCACTCCAGCCAAGAAGCGGTCAAGTTTCACATCAGAAACATGCTCTACTGTCGAAGGACACACACACACTCAAGACATGAGTGAGAATAACGGCACAGAGCTGGTAAGCAGACCCTTCTCTTACTTTCATTGAAAGATGTACGTTGATTTCAAGCATGACAATAGTGTTTCTTTTCTTATCCAGTGCTGCAGTGACAACGAGGACTTATTTGAGGGTTATGACAGCATTGTGGGTGACAGCTCCTTTCTGGCTAAGCTTGAAGATGTGGAGCTCCAGATGAGGCAGTGTCACGACCAGCAGACTCCAAATGCCTGTGAGGATGATCTTTCAGACTCAGTCTTAGCTGAGGATTTCAGAGATTCACCACCTACAGCTTTGCCGAGCTCTCAACTTGAATTTCAAAAAGCTGTCATGACTCCACACAAAAGCCCTTCCAGGGGTGCACATAACACCTCTACTCCTGATTTGATGAATCCCAGGCCAGCTGTCAATCATGCAGATCTCAATGTCAACAAGCCACCCCCAAAGGCCAGAAGAAGCATGAAAGATCATCTTAAGAAAGTACTGATAGACAATGCAGCAACATCTAGTACTGTCTCCAAGACAGTACAACAAAAGGAGGCTGTGATGACTGAAGAAATGAGTTTTGCCATGCAGGCCATGGAGTCCATATCAGCTGAGCAGGACCTGGGCCCTTTTTTTGGTCTCCCATCCAAAGTTAAAGTCCTTATTTTGAGATTAAAGGGAATCCAGGACTTGTATGGTAAGTATTTCACATCCTTTCCATTCCAGTTTTGTCCTTATTGGCATCTGGTAAATCAGTGTTTTAATCCTCTTGGTTTTTTTTTTCTATTCTCTTTTGATTTCAGAGTGGCAGAAGACGTGTTTGAGCCTGGATTCGGTGCAACAAAGGAGAAATCTCATTTATTCTTTACCAACAAGTGGAGGAAAGACTCTAGTGGCAGAGATTCTCATATTTAAAGAGCTCTTGTGTAGAAAGAAAGATGCACTGCTTATTTTGCCGTACATATCCTTGGTTCAGGAAAAGGTATACATTTACACATTTATGCATGATTTATGTATCATCTAAACAGTGGGACAATTGTAAATCAAGCCATTTTAGATCATTAGTACTGTGTTGTTGATACACTTGTATGCATTGATTTGCCTTTAGGTTCGAGGGTTATCTAGCTTTGGAATTGAGTTGGACTTCATGGTCGAGGAGTATGCTGGCAGTAAAGGGAGGTTTCCTCCGGTTAAGAGAAGAAATAAAAACTCTCTGTACGTCACAACTATTGAGAAGGGACACAGTCTTGTCAATTCACTGATTGAAAATGACCGTCTAGACAATATTGGTCTGGTTGTTGTGGATGAGGTATGCATCACAAACTATTATTATTATTAAAGTATATTTTTTGTTATGTTTTGTTTTTGTTTTGATACACTACAGAAAAGTCTGGGGTCGGTAAGATTTATTTACATACAGTAAAAACAGTAATTTTGTAAAATATTATTACAAATTAAAATAATTATCTGTTTTAATATATTTAAAAATGTAGTTATGAATCTATTTCTGTGATAGTAAAGCAGAATTTTCAGCAGCCATTACTCCAGTCTTCAGTATCACATGATCCATCAGAAATCATTCTAATATGCTGATTTGGTGCTTAAAAAACAGCAGCTTAAAATTTTTATTTTTTTTTAGGATTCAGCACCATTTATTTGAAATACATTTTCTGTAACAATGTAAAAGTCTTAACTGCCATTTTTGATGAATTAAATGCATCCTTGCTGAATCGAAACATTAATTTCTTTAAAAAAAAGTATGACCCCCAAACTTTTGAACAGTAGTGTGTATAAGCTTTTCAAATTAATTTGTTTTTCAGCTCCATATGCTTGGTGATGGAAGCAGGGGGGCAATTCTTGAAATGACTTTGTCAAAGATTCTGTACATGAGCAGTGAGTATCGGAAAACTCACACATGCTGTACTTTATCTGTGTGATGGTCACTCATTACAGATTCTGATAACTGCATTGTCATTTCTCCACAGAATCCACCCAAATTATTGGTATGAGTGCAACGCTAGGCAACGTGGGAGATCTTCAGACCTTTCTGAATGCTGAAAACTACACCAACGACTTCAGACCTGTAAGACTGTTACTGTGATTTAATATGGCTTTAAATTTGATCAACTCAATTCAAATAAATAACTGCTGATTCTGTAGGTTGAGCTGAAAGAGTATGTAAAAATAAAGGACAGCATATATGAAGTCGACCCAAGGGAAGAGACATGCTTCAGTTTCTCACGACTCCTGGATTTTAAGGTATTGATGATCATTTGTGGCCAAAGCTCCACACATTTAAGTTTTTGTTTTTTTAACTCAATAAGATATCGATCTGCTAAGCTCATTGAACCTTTGTGCAATGGACTTTCTCAGTACTCCAGTGGAATGCAGAAAATGGACCCTGACCACATCATAGCTCTGGCTACTGAAGTCATCCCTCAGCAGTCCTGCCTCATTTTCTGTGCCACCAAGAAGAACTGCGAGAATCTAGCTGGAATGATCTGCAAGTATTTAAATAAGTGAGTAGAGCTTTAGAGTCCTTAAAAGGATAATCCACCCAAAAGTGAAACCATTATTTACTTACCCTCGTGTCATTCCAAACCTGTGTGCATTTCTTTCTTCTGCAGAACACAAAAGAAGACATTGTCAAGAATGTTGGTAACCAAACAGTTTTGGGTCCCATTGACTTCATTCTATGGTCAAAAAAAATACTGTACTATGGTTGACAATGGGAGCTAAAACTGTTTGGTTACCAACATTCTTCAAAATTACTTTTCAGAGTTTTCATTTTGGGTGGACTATCCCTTTGAAGTCATTATAGATTTTTTGTGTGTGTGTGTGTCATTGATTTATGAAAGGAAACATTTTTTTCAGGGTGTTTTTGAAACACAAGGAGGCAGAGAAAGCCACTCTTCTTGGTGAACTGAAGAGCAGTGGGAATGGATCCTTGTGTCCTGTGCTGAAGAAGACTGTGCCCTTTGGCCTGGCCTACCACCACAGCGGCCTGACCAGTGATGAGAGGAAACTGGTGGAAGAGGCTTATTCCTCAGGGGTACTCTGCCTTCTCACCTGCACCTCTACTCTCGCTGCTGGCATCAACCTTCCTGCACGCAGGTTCGTGTAGGCCTATGCATCTGAAAGCCTTAAATCTGTAGATCTAGAGCGTATGCATTGACGTCATTTTCCCACCGGAACACGCCCCCTCAGCCAAACTGAGTGGCAAAAGAGCCTGCTGCATGACTGGATTTAATAGGGAAGCTGCGAAAACGCGAGTAAAACAGATGATAATCAGTTAAAACTAAAGGTTGTTGGACTCGATATAGTGTTCCTTACAACTTACCAAAGATCCAGTGGTCCATAGATATTGACATGCAGCCAGGAATCGTGTTTGCTGACATTTATATGTGCCTGATTTTGACGCCGGCGAAATACATAAAGCAAATTTGCCTGTGAATGCATTTTGAAATACAAAATAGGTTGGTCTAAATCCGTGTGATCACTTATATCAATGTTATATATATATTGTCATATCGTCCAGGCCAAAAACTTATATAGTTTTTGTCAGTGTTTATTTAAAAACATCCAGTTATGCAGAATATAAGATGGTAAATAAGTTGTCAATATGATATATTAACAATACAATATATAGGGTATGATATTACCACAAAATTCAACATATTAACATAAAATGTTAACTGCAAATCCGCGTTTCGCTGCCTGGATTCCATTTGTTTCTTTGAATTGCAGGGATCCCTGCTTCTCTTTTCTGTAGCTTTCGGCAGTCTGTAAAAATATTCCTCAGATTTCTTGTCATATCTCTTTGTACAGTCAATCGCAAAGCTCTTTCCTGTTTTAGATGTGTTTTGTGTGTTCTGTCGCAGCATTCATGCTGAAAACCAATGCTGCCATTCAGTCTTTTTGCCACTCAGTGGGCGGAGCCACAGTCACTCCAGCTGACGGTGACGCCACGTGCATACCCTCTATTGATGTGTGTTTCTTAATCATATGCATGTGCTACTTCTCAGGGTCATTCTGCGGTCCCCATATGTAGCTACAGAGTTTTTAAAGAGAAGTCAGTACAAACAGATGGTAGGCAGAGCAGGACGAGCAGGTATTGATGCCATGGGTGAGAGTATCCTGATCCTGCAGGACAAAGATATAAACATGGTAAAGAACTGCTGTCTGCACCAATGGAGAAGTGTTACAGTAACCTTCTACATGATGGAGGGAGGGGCCTCTTCAGTCTCGTCCTGTCATTCATTGGGCTGAAGGTTTGTGAAATGTTTTGATGTAGTGATAATTGAGAAATTATGTCTACTTTAGAAGTGCAAACACTAATGTGTTTCCTTTCATTTCAGATAACTACAACTGTAGAACAAGTGAGGGATTTCATGAAAGGCACACTGCTTAGTGTGCAGGAGGCTCAGGTCAGTCCAGAGAGGAGTCTGTGGGACCTTACAGTGGAGTCTATAGATACTCTGAAGCAGAAGAGCCTCATCGAAGTCTCTGCTGATGTAAATAATCAAAGCATTCTCCAAATCACCAGGCTTGGGAGAGCAACATTCAAAGGTAAAACTAAGCATGGCATGAGGATTGGAATAATGTCATGTTTTGATGAGTAAGAAATGATTCTAGATATTTACTCATTTACCACATGGTGGCAATACGACCCAGTTTAAAAATGATACATTAGCAGAGGAAACATTTCTAACTTCTCTTTTTATTGGTTTTTCAGAGCCTCCTTTTTTAATGTTTCCATTTAAAATGTTACTTGTTGTTTCAGGTTCAATAGACCTAAGCTACTGTGATCTGCTCTACCGAGACTTATCGAAAGGGCTGGAGGGTTTACTCCTCAATAGTTTTCTTCACTTAGTGTATCTGGTTACTCCATATGACATGGTGAATCAATGCAAACCAGATTGGATGATCTACTTCAGGCAGGTGGGATGATTTTGTTAGGTTAAACCTGTTTTAGTGACACACTACCATTTAAAATTTCTCGCTCAGTAAGATTTTTTAAATGTTTTTGAATCCTCTTATGTTCATCAAGGCTGCATTTATTTGATAAAAAATACAGTAAAACAATTGTGAAATATTATTAGAGTTTAAAGAACAGTTTAATACATTTTATTATATAATTTATGACAAAGTTACTTACTCCAAACTTGGAATAGTACAGAATATCACCACCTTTATATTTGTATTAATGTCATTAATGTACTCCTCTTTAGTTTCAGTTGTGTATACTTAATACAAATGTTTCATTGTACCAGTTTACGAATTTGTCAGCTGCTGAACAGAAGATGGCCACTGCGGTCGGAGTGCCTGAAAGTTTTGTGGCTAGAAAGGCAGCGGGACAGAGCGTGAGGAAGGTTGGCAAAACGGCATTCTTCTCATACTTCAGAATACCATACTAGCAAATCACAACCGTTTTGGGGGGGTTAAACAGCCCAGGTATAATGAGCCTGAAACTGCTGTAAACAGATATCATTAGCTGACAATGTTTTAAAAAATTAAACATGTCTGTCTTACTTATTTACTACTTACTTCAATCCTAATCCTCTCAAAGGATTTGCAGAGTGTTAATGCTAAATCTATATTTAACCCTTCTGTAGTTTCTGAGGTGGAAAATAATGATTTACTGTGACTTAAAGTGAAGCATCATCAGACCTGGATTTCACAATGATTTTTGTTCCTGTTTCTCTTACCTGCATCTCAGTCTGTGGACATTGTGGTAGTGAATAGGTTGTATCTGGCTTTGGTGCTGTACTCCCTACTGAAGGAGACAAACCTTTGGGACGTGTCTGATAGATTTCAGCTGACCAGAGGCTTTGTACAGACTCTTCTCAGCTCAGCTTCCGCATTTGGCTCCTCTGTGCTGCACTTCACTGAGGTTAGGGCACATCCAGGCATCGTTTAAGACATATCAGCTGACAAATCTACATCTGTTCCTATCTTAGAGCCATTAATGGATTAGAGTACTATGAGATTTGTCTGTCCATTTCAGGAGCTGGAGGAGTTTTGGGCCTACAAGGCTCTTCTCTCAGAGCTGACCCGTAGATTGACTTACTGTGTGCAGGCCGAGCTCATTCCACTCATGGAGGTGGCTGGAGTCATGGAGGTGTGTGTTGTTGCTGCTCATCTTGTCTCTCTAAAATAACTCTGACCAGAACATTTGCTTGAGAGCTGTGATTTTATTTTTTCTTCTTTCATTCTCTTTTACTTCAGCATCGTGCTAAGCAGCTGTATAACGCTGGTTACAAGACACTGGCACATCTTGCCAACGCAGATCCACAAATTCTGGTCCAAACTATTGAAAACCTCTTCAAAAGACAAGCAAATCAAATTATTGCATCAGCAAAAGTAAGTATAATATTGCACTATAGAGCAACATAATATTTTCAGCTTAGCTATTCTTTTTAAGTTCATCCAAAATAAAAATTGTATTAATTTATTTACCCTCAAGCCAAACCTGCATCACTTTCTTACTTCAGAAATGATGAAGAATTTCTTTGATTGTTTTTTTCATGCATTAACATCAAATGTTGGTGTTGGGCCTCAAAAAAGATCAAATCATCATAAAAGCATCATAAAGGTATTTCCTCACATGATGATGGCTCAAGAAGGCTTCTTTTATTATAGAAAGGAATCCAATGCTCTTCTTTCAGTCCAAAAAAGTTAAAAAGACTTTATTTGCATTATGGCCATTACGATAGAAACATTTAAAATGACTAAAACACTGCACACTGATGCGCCCTTCAGCCTTCCTCAGAGTGTGTCAAGGCTACTTTTATGATGATTTTGGTGATTCTGAATACTTTTTGTCACTATATATCGTTAATGCATGCAAAAGACTGACCAGGACAATCAGGAAATTCTTCATTCCACATCAGAAAGAAAGTCATACAGGTTTGGAATAACATGAGGGTGCGAAATAATTTTTTTTCACCGTTTATGGGTGAACTATACTTTTACGATGCACATATAAGAAAAAAACACACCTTTTTATTCATGTTAACTTTCTCAATGTTCATTTTCAGATGTTAATAAAAGAGAAAGCAGAGGCCTTGCAGGAGGAGGTGGATGACCTGCTTATGCTGCCATCTGATATCCCATCTTTGTAAATCTTTGTTTATTTTTATTTATTTTATGTAAATAGCATGTATATTATTTAATCTACCTGGCATTATGTAAACTATTTTGTGCCTACATGTCTGGCTGAAATAAAAATGGAAGTAACCTCGTTTTTAGTAGCATCTCTGTTACTCATTACCATGGTCATGTGTTATTTTGTGTCATAAAGACTTTATAACCAGTCTGCCACAAAGAATCATAAACAGCATGATAAAGTTCCAGGCATAGGCTGTATAAAAAAAGGGGTCCAGCGCAGCCTCTCTTGTTGTGAGTGCCAGCCAATCAAATAAGACATGCAAATAAATGAATTAGCCTGAAGCCACGCCCAGGAGTCAACAGCGTGAGAGATATGTTTAATTGTCATGAACTGGTCTAACAAGAAAGAAGGAAGTAGCTTTGACGGTGCTAAAAAAAATAAAAATATATAATATTTCGCCTGTGTGTTTTGGATGAGCGATGCCAGCAAAGCCCAACAGTGGCGGATTGAACAGATGAAGTCTGCGGCCACAGCAGTTTCCACGATTGTAGCTCTTGCTTTGTTTGGCTCGTTGTGTGTCGGGGCCAAAACAGTGATATCTGTTGATGATGTTCAGTCAATACGCGTCGACCTGGATCTGTTCCGTGTGGCCCGACGGGTGGACGAAAGGTTTCTCTCCGTGGCCATAGATGCGAGTTTACTCGCCCAGGAGAAGTTCATGAACCTACTGAAGTAAGTAACTTCTTAAACCTCAAATTAATAAAGTTGTGATGTAACTTTAAAAGAAGTGATATGGTGTTTATGCAGTTCACCGAAGTTAAGAACCCTCGCCAAAGCCTTGATCCCAGCGTTTCTGCGATTTGGAGGTACCAAACAAGATTTTATGAAATTCAACCCACGCGGAAGATATTTTCAAGCGAGAGACAACAGCAGCAGCGCTGTTCAAGGTAACCTCTTTCACTTAGCATCAATACATGACTTAAAACTTAAGTAAACCACATCCTCTACAGTAGCTGAGAAAGCTGACTGTGGTGTGTTGTCATCTGACTTTAATGAGCGAGCAGTGAACTGATTCACACAAACAAACTGAACATACAATGCACCTACATAGCTTGTTGTATCTAAAGATTGTAGTTGACCCCAAATTTATTTGGACACTTATACCTTCATATTTCTGAGCAATTTTTTGCAATGATGTTTAACCACCTGGGTTCAAGGTGATTTTTACTGGAAGCTATATTACATCACATAACGATGTTCCACATTTGACAAAACTGAAACTGATACAAATACTTTGAATTTGGTTTCTCTCTCTCCCACTCTCTCTCAAACACACACAAACATATATACGTATATATATATATATATATATAGAGAGAGAGAGAGAGTTTTAATTCGTTTTTTCAATTTTATTATTATTGGATTTATTTAATCAGCCACATCTACTGTTATTCCTACAGGAAAATTATGTGAGAGACTTGAATTGCCTCCATTTCTGGAAAATAGGTTAAAGCAAGAATGGGTCCTACAGTCAAAGACTTTACTCCAGGAGGAACTAGAGGGAAAATACAAAAAGACGAAATTCTCTGGTAAGTTTAATTTAACTTCTTTTAAATATTTAATTACCTAATGGAGTCAGTTCCACAAAACAGTGTTCTCTAGCAACAATGTAAATTCCGCTGCCCCACACTTTTAAGTGTCAGAAAATGTAAAGTTGAATTTTTAATGAAAAGTCTTCTTTACAAAAAGACTCCATGGCAGCTATAAACTACTATAGCAACTGTATGGTAGCTAAATGTATATAAACTCTGGGCCATCATTATTATTGAACCCAGTAATGTATTCAGATTTTCACTGATCAGAAAACGTAAAAGTCAAGTGTTTGTGTTTCTTGCAGAATATGCAGTCGATCTGCTATACGCTTTTGCGAACTGCTCTGGTTTGGACCTCATCTTCGGTTTGAATGCTTTGCTCCGAACCAGCGAAAACACATGGAACAGCACAAATGCAGAACTGCTGTTGAAGTACTGTGAGTCCAGGCAGTATGTGATGTCCTGGGAGCTGGGGAATGGTAGGATTTGGGATCTTTCCTCATGCATATGCACATGTTCCTGTTTTGAATTACCCACTAATTTTTATATGATTATCTGTTGTTGTTATTATTTAAGTTGATGCCCTCAGCATTAAATCTCTTGTTTTAGAACCCAACAGCTATGAGAAAAAAGCAGGGATCAGAGTGGATGGTTACCAGCTTGGTCAGGATTTTGTCCATTTGCATCAAATCCTTCAGGAATCTGTGGTCTACCACTCAACAGGACTATATGGACCAGATGTTAGTCAGCCACGAGATCACCGCAAAGATTTGTTAACTGGGTAAGTGTTAGGAAATAGTTCTTGATTTAATGGATTTTCAGAGACTCATCTAGTCTGCACCATCAGTAATACTAATGCATTTGGGTATCGAAGAAATAGGGCTGTGCAAAAAAATTGAATGCGATTTTCATGCGCATCTCGTCAGTAAAGCCGCTTCTGTGATTAGTAGTAAATCTCCAGCATGTGCTTTCAGATGGAGTGGCATTTACTACACAGAGCCGTAGTTCACTGACAAGCTACACAAAATTGCGTTCATAATCGGCAATGAATCGCCTGCGGTTTTGAACACGATTTTGTGTAGCTTGTCAGTGATATACGGCTCTTTGTAGTAAATGCCGCTCCATCTGAAAGCACGTGCTGGAGAAGCGGCTTTACTGACGAGATGCGCATGAAAATCGCATTCGATTTTTTGCACAGCCCTACGAAGAAGCGTGACATGGTTGAACATTAACTTTTATAGGTTTTTGGAGACTGGAGCAAAGGCCATTACTGCATGCACCTGGCATCAGTAAGTTATGATTTACTTCCATTCACTAAAATCAGAAATAAATTAGATTAGCTTTTTCTGAGTCTTTGTATTGAACTTGTTGTTCTTTTTTCTTCTTAACAGCTATTATGTGAATGGCCGAGACACGTCTTTAGAGGATTTCCTTGACCCTGAAGTGCTTGATACTCTCGCAACAAAAATTAACGAGGTCTATCTGTCTTGTTTATTGAAGGTGGCTGGACAAACTGGGGCTTGCTGCCGAGCTTGGTTTAGATGTCGTCATCAGACAAGTGTTAATTGGTTCTGGCACGTACCATTTAGTGGATGATAACCTAGATCCTCTTCCAGTAAGTGTTTTTTTATGTGTTTGATCTTTGTTGCATAACTTCTGTATCGGTCCAGGAATGTGGACCAGTCAATTAGCCTAGTTTTTTTCTTTCTTTACATTAAATTTTGTATTATGGCAGGATTACTGGCTATCATTGCTATACAAGTCCTCGAGGGACCAGAGTAATCCTGCACAATATATTAAAACAGGATGTCTTTTGTGGCATTCAAATTTCTCACATTCAGCAGTGAGAAATGTCAGATAATGACTGAAATTAACTGATAAACATACTGCCTTCAGATTGTTGAATCTGTTTCTCCGGGGAAGAAGGTTTGGCTAGGAGAGACGAGCTCGGCATATGGTGGAGGTGCTGTTGGACTCTCTGACACGTTTGTAGCTGGTTTCATGTAAGTCAAAAAAATTACAGATAAAAGATTGTAAGTAAATTAAAACAGCCAGTGTGCTTATAGAAACATAAATGAAAGAAATGGCAATTATTGATACACAGGTTTCCATAATTATTCTAATTGTTCTAATTAAAAAATAAAATAGTTTTACATTTAAGTAGCCTAATTTTAATTTAATGTGAATTCAACAGTTTAAATATATAAAAATAAAAATAAAAAGTTTGGGGTTAGTCGTAATTTTATAGTAGGCCAATTTGTGTACATTCTCCCTATATCTCAAACTAATCATGAAGAATGTTGTGGGTTTGTCTTTTTTTTTTTTTTTTTTTTTGAAAGAAGTCTTATGCTCACCAAGGCTACATTTATTTATTTAATAAAAAAATGTTAAAAAGTAATATTGAAATATTATTACAATTTAAAATTACTGTTTTCTGTTTTAATATATTTTAAAATGTAATTTATTCCTGTGATGGAAAAGCTGGATTTTTAGCAGCCATTACTCCAGTCTGCAGTATCACATGATCCTTCAGAAGTCTTTCTAATATGCTGATTTGCTGCTGTTGAAAACAGTTGTGCTGCTTAATATTTTTGTAGAAAATCCTGTCAGGATTCTTTGATTTTATATGAACTATAAATCTTTTATGAAGATATAAATGTCTTTACATTCACCTTTGATCAATGTAATGCATCCTTTCTAAATAAAAGTATTAATTTCTTGTAAAATGTGATAGATATGTTATAATATATATA